AAGATAGAGAGAGGGATCTTCACTACGTACAGTCTTATCCAGGAGATACCCTGTCTAGCATGGGAAGACTAGCACAGAAGAAGAAGGCCTGAACAGAAATCTTATCTAAAGCAGCAGGGTACAGTGTGAGTACCTCTACACCCCAGGGCCTACAAGGGAAAAGGCTGCCAGATGCAGTATCCAGCATGCTTTCATTGGTACAGTGTCACAGCTAACTTAAATCTCTTGCTGTGGGACACCTTACAAGGTAGCCAGGTGGGCTGGTATTTTCTGCAAGTATTGGGAATTTATGTGAGTTTCACCCAGGGGACATAGAGAAAAAAGGATCTTTGATATTGTTCTTTTAGAGACTGATGTTATTCCGGAGGGAGTACAGTCCAGGATCTGCATGTTCATGTATATAGAGAAGGAAGTCTGTCTTCAAATCGTTCTGCCAAGTCAAGTTGGGCATCCCATATTCCCATGTTTCCCCTAAATAAAACAAAAAAAGCCCAAGCCCATGGAATGGTTACCGACTCTGTTAGAAAGGTAAAAACATGTGTGTTGCCTTGCTGTGCGGATAAAGGGAGACCCAAAAATCCAGTGGCTCCTTAGGGGGTAGTGCTACCCATGAAAAGGGATTCAGCCAGAGCCTGCAGGGGAACCTGCAGTGCACAGGACCACGTGGTCCACCAGAGCAGCGAGAGGTACAGGCTTGAGAAGGAAGGCCTAGGGCATTACGGGTTGCCTTTTTCTCATCCTCTATCAGTAGTGCACAGGCTACCAGACAGAGTGTGCCCTACACTACTTCATCCTCCATCATCCTTCCAGAGGTAGTGTAGCCTGCTGTCATCTGCCTCTATCCAGCCTATGGGCATGTTCAAAAGGGGACACACTATCATTATTTTGCTGTTCACTGAACTGTCATTTTTATTGCTTGTAGTACAAGGGTATTTATGAATGTCCCAATGGTTGCTGGAGCATCTTTTCCCTTATGTCCAGCTACTGAGCTATGGCTGTTCCATGTCACAGGCTGCTAGAGGAAATGAATGGCATTTACATGGCTGTATGTATAACTGTTACAGCATTTGATCTTTGGTTAATTCTGTCATTGCTGAGTCTGTTCAACCAGTTCTTCCCCTACAGGGCATGTTCTGGCCCAAATAGATCCATTTGCATCATGACTGGTGTGTCTATGAGTTTGGGTCCAGTTGAGGTGTGTCATCACTGGGAGTGGCAGAAGGACCCCTCTATCCAGGGGCTCCCTAGAGAATTTGTTTTACAGCTAGTACTGGATAATCACATTCATCTTGAGTGGTTCTGTAATGTTAAATATATATTTGCAGCTTATCCAAGTTGTGTTTTCATTCTGGGGTATGTTCCTGAAAATCTTTAGAACTGAACAAGTGGCTTGGATAAGATGCAAAACATCTTCGATATTACAGAACAAGTCCAGTTAAAAAACAAGCAAACTCAACATTTCATATCCCTGATATGTACCTGTTGTACTATGTACTCGTATGAAAAAGAATCCTGTTCTCTATGTATTGCTTCCTTTGTGTGAAATCCCTGGGGTTGCTGCTCTCTTACTACACTAGGCATGAGAGCACAGCGTGAACAGTTCTCTGGCTGTGCTGAGAACTCAGCCTACTCTCCTCCCATAATCAGACTTGTCCTGACATGCCCCCCCTTGCACAGCCATTCACAGGGAAGCTCAGTGTGCTGCCATTTCTCCTCCCCTCAGCTCTTATGAAACTGAGAACAGAGGGTATGTGATCTCTTATAAAAAATAGGGAAAAAGGTATTTATAATGTTTTGTACGCTTGTATGCTTGCAATGTTCTATACGCAAATGTTTTGTCTTTCATTTCTATTTTAAATTGGTTTGTTTTAGAAGATGAGAGTTCACATATATTCTAAATGTGACTAACTACAAATAGATATACCTTGACCCAAGTAAATGAGAACCTTCACAAGCAAAGGAGGAAACAGCATTGTGGGGAGGAAGGGAGATGACAAATTTTTTCTCATACTTCTATGGGTTATTGATAAATTTTTCACACACAAACTACACTGAATTGGTCAGTTGAGCAGCAGTAGGGGAAACACCCAAAGCAGTAACTACTCTCAGGGCCAGAAGACTCATGTCTTCATACATGGCTGGCTAAGAGTCCATTGACTCTCGTATGGTATTGCTTAGCCAGCCAAACAGCCTGAAAGATGTCTTTTTTTGTTTGCTGCTGCTTCCTCGCTGACAATCAAGATTGTGACGTGTTTTATCCAGCTTGGGAGCAACATCCGTGGGATAGAGTGGTTGAGAGGTCAGGGCCGTGGATAAGGGGGTACCACCCATCCTCCTGTATGGGGCCCAGGCCAGAAGGGGGGCTCAGACAGCTGGATGAATTAGATGTGGGCAGGAAGGGTGATCAGCACAGTGGGGGGCAATTACTGCAGGGGGATATTACGGGAACTGATCCCCTGCAGCAGCTGAAAACTGGCTTTTTCTCTTCTCCCTCACACTGGTTTTAAGCGGCTGCAGAGAAAACCATACAGGGGATCGGTTCCAGTAATTACCCCCCACTGCACCCATCACCCTCCCTTTGCACCATACATTTCCCCTTGCTGCCCAGGCCCCCTGTGTGTCCCCACCCCCTCAGTACTTCCAGATTCCCTCCTCTCCTTACCACCAGCAGCTGCAAGCACACAATAGGATCCTTCAGGACGGATAGTGGGACATATGTCACATTTACCAGCTCCTTCCTTTCCTAAATGATCACAACAAGTGACTGGTAACAATCACTCACTGTGTTCGTTCATAACTGAAGCATAATGAACTGTGTTGTTTTGGGGTGGGAAAGGGACCTTTTCAGGTTGGCCATATGGGGCCCCGTGGTTTCTAACAGCAGCCCTGAGAGAGGTTATCCATAGCAGAATCACTCGAGTGACATGCTTAGAGTAATTATCATAGTACGTGTATTAGAATGCACTTTCATGCTTCCAAATTTGTTCTGTTGTGTGATACATTTGTGAATACAGTAGAAGTTGAAAGCGATAATAATGATAGGATTATAAATAATAATAATAACAATAAACAATGTTTTGAGGCACAAGTTATATGGAGGTTCAGCAAGTTCATATTTAGTAGATCCCTACAGTAATACATACAGTATGTTTCTGCATTAGATGTGAAGGGAACAGTGCCACCTAGAGGATTCATAAGGGGATGCAAACTGACTTGCTCCAAAGTACTCAGGCTGGAATTTGAACATACTGCCTAAACAGATGATCAGTTGTGTTGGTCCTTATAATTTACATGCAGAACACACTTTACCTTAAACTTTATTTAGTGGTCCTTTGGGACCATGCAGATGATTCTCTAGTAATAATGACTATTCCATATCTAAATGCAGATTCTAATTTGAATTTTGCTCTGTAAGATTCCGCTGTCTTCTGTGTCTCATGTCTTTTGTCTCCCGGGTGTATGGCCCTGCACTGCCCGAGCCAGGGAGCTGTGAGTAAAGTGTTATTTCAGCTGCTGTAGCCCGATAGTAAAGTGAGTACAGAAAATGTGAGCATGTACCAGGGTGCACTTTGCAGTGACAGATTTGGCCTGATAACATGGGCTTCTTGCTCAGGAAGTTCAAAAGGCCTCCTTCTTTCAGATTGCTGACCTTGAGCTTAAACAGTGAAAAAATCCTGTTATTTCAAGAGTCAAGAAGGAAGTATGCGCTAACTATGATTTCAGTCTTTTTCATGTGGGATGTATTTGGGATTTTTCCTTAAAACATGCTGACAAAATGTTCACAATTATGAACTACATACAGCCAATGCTGAACCTCATGTAGAAAGTAATGTACGGATACACATTGTATAATAGTGTGGGAAACAGCAGGATTTAGATCATATTATGACATTCCTAAGAGACGTTCTATGTTTTTTATTTATTTTATGATCCTGTGCATTGATGATGCAGTATTGAAAAGGAGCCAGTTCATGCAAAAGTGAGATTTCATTTATAGGTAGCATTCGATAGGCTGACTTACACCCTATGTTAAACAGAAAATTAGGATTAGATGGAAGACATCTAAGTTGTGTTTCCTCTGCAGTTCCTTCAGAGCTCTGTAGGTGGCCAAGACTCTTGCGCACATGCGCAGGAATGATGTCATCGCAGCTCGGCCAATCAATCGACCAGAGCCCTCCAAAGTGCAAACCCGGAAGGAAGACCGGGTGAAGATGGAAGCCCTGTCATCGATGACAGCATGCCACTGGAGGGCTGCATTCTAAGGGAAGTCTTTCATAATGTGCTAGCATGCGATGCATACTAACACATTATGACATTATTTTGCAGGGGACATGTTTTTATTAACTTTTTTTTGGTGGTTTACTACCGCATTAAAGGTAAAACACATTGTAAAGAGAAAATCCAAAAGAGAAATGCACTTTTGTCTTCAGTTCGCTTATGAGAAAGTGAACCTCCCTCATAAGCGAATTGGGGACAAAAGTGCAGAGATTGCAACAGCAATGTTCTTGGAAAAAAAAGTCAGATAATTTAACCATTTTGCCCTCCTGAGGATTTACCCCCCTTCCTGACCAGACCATTTTTGGCATTACGGTGCTACATTACTTTAACTGACAATTGCGCGGTCATGCAACATGGCACCCAAATTAAATTTACCTCCTTTTTTCCCACAAATTGAGCTATCTTTCGGTGGTATTTGATCACCTGTGCATTTTTTTATTTTTTTTGCGCTATGAGAAATAGACCAACAATTTTGAGAAAAAAAATATATATTTGACTTTTTGCTATTAAACATGTCCAGTAAAGAAATTTAAAAAAATCAAATTTCGTCATAAATTTAGGCCAAAATGTATTCTTCTACGTATTTGCTAAAAAAATCCCAATACATGTAAATTAATTGGTTGACTGTATGTGAAAATTATAGCATTTACAAATGGCAGAATATATACCGGGATTTTTTTTTATTTTTTATTTTTACTTTTAATGGCGGCGGTCAGCGAATTATAGCGGGACTGCGGTGGGCATTCTGACACTGGGGGGAACTGACTTGGTGTCACTGACATCCCTAGTGACACCAATACAGTGATCAGTGCTAAAAAAAAAAAGCACTGACACTGTACTAATGACACTGGGCAGGAAGGGGTTAACATGTAGGGTGATCAAAGGGTTAACTGTGTGCTATTTTACTCTGTGCTGTGTCCATGTGCTTCACTTCACTGTGCACAGCCATCCAAAGCAGTGTACACGAGCTGACAGGAAGGAGAATTGTATTGTTTACAAACAGTTTCTCCTCCTCATCGGAGATGCTCATGAATCACCAGGCGCCGGTGAGTAATTACCTGCCGGGACCGGGTGATTGACAGCCGCGGCTGCAAAAGGCGCGCCCCCTACCCGGAGATGCAAAATCATGTATACAGTATATACGTGATTTTACGCACCCGTGCTGCCCTGTAGCACTATATCTGCTATAGGGCGGTCATGAAGCAGTTAAAGTGTATTTAAAGTGGAGGTAAACTCCCACTGGAAACTTGTACCTACAGGGAAGCTTATAATAAAGCCTACCTGTAGTACAAGGAGTATCTCCTAAACATGCACCATTTAGGAGATATTTAGTGTTCCTGCAGCCGATGACGTCACCGGCGCATGCGCTCTGAAGGAACGGCATGCCCTTGCAGTTCCTTCAGAGCTCTGTCAGTGGCCGAGACTCGGCCAATCGATGGACCAGAGCGATGACAGCACGCCACTGGAGGGCTGCATTTTAAGGGAAGTCTTTCATAATGTGCTAGTATGCGATGCATACTAGCACATTATGACATTATTTTGCAGGGGACATGTTTTTATTAACTTTTTTTGGCGGTTTACGTCTGCTTTAAAGGTAAAACACATTTTTTTAAGTTTCTATAATGGGATGCAAATTGTAAAAAAAAAAAAGATATGCTTTAACCACTTGTCTACGGGGCACTTTTACCCCTTCCTGCCCAGGTCAATTTTCAACTTTCAACACTCTCACACTTTGAATGACAATTGCGTGGTCATGCAACACTGTACCCAAACAAAATTTGTATCATTGTTTTGAGAAAGATAGAGCTTTCTTTTGGTAGTATTTAATCACCACTGGGTTTTTTATTTTTTGCTAAACAAACTAAAAAAGATTGAAAATTGTGAAAAAAAAGTATTTTTTTAGTTTCTGTTCAAAAATGTTGTAAATAAGTAATTGTGTCCTTCAGTGATGTGTGCTAATGAGGCTGCAGTGACAGGCACTGATAGGCTGCACTGATGAGGAGGTACTGATAGGCATCACTGATGGGCACTGAAGGCAGCACTCATATATGGCACTGATAGCCGGCACTGATAGGCGGCACTGACTGGTACTGATAGGTGGCATTGATTGGAACTGTTAGGTGGCACTGATGAGTACTGATAGGCAGCACTGACAAACACTGATAGGTGGCACTGACTGGCACTGATAGGCGGCACTGATAGGTGGCACTGATAGGTGGCACTGACTGGCACTGATAGGGACAATGAAAGGCAGCTCTGATGGACACTTATATGTGGCATTGATGTGCACTGATATGTGGCATTGATGTGCACTGATGGGAACTGGTATGTGGCATTGATGGGCACTGACAGGTGGCAGTTATGGGCACTGACAGGTGGCACTGATGGAGCTACACTGATCATCAGGGCACTGATGATCAATGCCCTGATGATCAGTGTACCTGTCCCTTCTGAGGAATATCGCTTACCGGCTTTCCTCTCCTCACACGCTGTCAGCGTGAGGAGAGGACTGCCAATAACCAGCATTTCCTATTTACATGCGATCAGCTGTGATTGGACACAGCTGATCACATGATAGAGCCTACGTCATTGGCTCTTTACTGCGATCGGTGATCCGCTGTGTCCCAGGGAGACCCGCATGCGCAGCTAGAGTGGGAAGACATCATATGACGTCCTCCCAGAAAGAGGGAACTGCCGCCTTCCCATCATATCCTTATATGGCGGATGGGAGGAGGTTAAAGTTTATTTCAGCTTTTGCTGTCAAATTTGAGAAACCCTCACTATGTATTTATTATGTGTTTCCATTTACAAAGCATACCTAAGAATAATCTACAAAAATTACTTTTCTAAGGCTTCATGTACATGAGCAGCTGGAGCTGGAGTTTAGGAGCTTTTGGCATTTTTTTTGCCAAGGCTTCTAAATTCAACTCAATAAAAGCCTATGTGTCCATGTACACATAGCTTTTAGCAGTGTTTAAGAGCTTCCCTTTTAGGTGAGGTTAAACCTCCCTCTCCTGAACGCAAAAGAATCACATTCAGGATAGGAATGTTTTGACCACCGGCCATGGGAAAACACAAAACAGGCAAAACACAGCAACCACAGTACCGTGTTTTTCCCGCAATTTGTGTTTCCCAGCAGCCAGTGGTCAAAGTAGGCTTGTGTGCATAAAGCCTTATGCCAGCTACTCAGAACATTTTCAAAGTGCAATTAGAGGATCACAATTAGGCAGGCCATAGACAATGCAACTTTTCTGCAACTTTTCCTGCAACTCATCAGTGTTGATGGGGAAGCCCTCCCACGGAACGATTATGTCCTCCTAGCGGGTGGGGGGTCGGGGAGCTGTCTCTTCTGGGAGAACACAGTGATTATTGCTAGCAGCTATAGCCGCTGGCAGTAATGGTATGTAAAAATCCAACATGCTGGTTGTACCCAAGTCGTACCATTGAATCGGGTTCAGTTAGTCTGCCCATAGATGGTTCGAATCTCAGCCAGTTCCTGCTGAACCGGACAAGATTCAAACCATTTATGGCTGGCTTTAGGGACAGTGTAAAAAAAAAATGATTAACATACAATGTACCACTCAAGATTTTATAGCTTTAACTCTTTGTTAGGACAGGCAGGGGGTTATTTACTAAAACTGGAGAGTGCAAAATCTGTTGCAACTCTGCAGAGAAACCAGTCAGCTTCCAGGTTTTAAAGGTGATTGGCTACCATGCACAGCTACACCAGATTTTTGAGTGCACCAGTTTTAGTAAATCTAACCCACAGTTTGCTAGTCACAGTGTGCTAAATTTAGTTTACAACTGATAAGGAAATCTTATCAGCACAATACAGACAGAGTTAACTATGGTAAACATAACTCCACAGAACCCTCCTTCACATGACATAGAAGTGGATGCTAGGTAGAATTTTTCAGCAAGTAAAAAGTAAACTACTGGCAGATAGACTTTTATTATTATTATTATTATTATTATTATTATTATTATTATTATATAAGACTTATATAGCGCCAACAGTTTACGCAGCACTTTACAACATAAGGGCAGACAGTACAATTACAATACAAATGAATACAGGAGGATTCAGAGGGCCCTGCTCGTTAGAGCTTACAATCAAAGAAGGAGCGTCGAGAGATACAAAAGATAATAACTGTGGGGAATGGGCTGATGGACAAAATACATATACAGTTGTTAGGTGGGGGCAAGATAGGCATCTCTGAAGAGATGAGTTTTCAGGGATTGTCTAAAAGTGGACAGAGATGGAGATAGTCGGACACATTGGGGAAGGGAGTTCCAGAGGATGGGAGCAGCTTTGGAGAAGTCCTGGAGACGAGCATGGGAGGAGATGACAAGGGTGCTAGAGAGCAGGAGTTCTTGGGAGGAACAAAGTACAGGATTTGGTTGGTATTTTGAGACCAGGTTGGTGATGTAACTAGGGGCTGAACTGTAGATTTCTTTATAAGTTGTTGTAAGTATCTTGAATTTTATTCATTGGGTGAGCAGGAGCCAGTGGAGGGGCTGGCAAAGAGGGGTGGCAACACTGAACGATTGGCAAGGTGGATGAGTCTGGCAGCAGCATTCATGATGGATTGTAGGGGGGATAGCCTATGCAAAGGTAAGTCAGTGAGGAGGGAATTGCAGTAGTCAAGGCGGGAGATGACCAGGGAGTGAGTTAGCAGCTTTGTGGTGTCATTGGTTAGGAAGGGGCGATCTTGGAGATGTAGAGATTGAGGTGGCAAGCTTTGGACAGTGATTGGATGTGGGGCAGAAAGGATAGTTCAGAGTCCAGGATTACACCTAGCACCCTGGCATGTGGGGACTGGTTTATGGTTGAGCCATTGATTTTGACGAAGAAGTCAGTGGAAGGGGCACGTACGGGAGGAAATATTATGAGCTCAGTTTTGGATAAATTAATTTTCAGTTTCAAGTGGTGTGACATCCAGGATGATCTGTCTGTTAGTAGATTAGTTCTGCGGGAGGCTGATGGAGTGAGTTGAGGGGTAGAGAGATAGATTTGGGTGTCATCAGCATAGAAATTATATTGAAATCCATGGGAGGCAATCAACTAACCCAGAGAGGAGGTGTAGATTGAGAATAGGAGGGGTCCCAGAACAGAGCCTTGGGCAACCCCAGCGGAGAAAGGAGGAGGAGAAGAGGAAGTAGAATTGTACGTGACACTGAAGGTGCGGTGGCATAGGTAGGATGAGAACCAATGAAGAGCACTGTCATGGAGACCAAAGGAGTGGAGTTTTTTTAGGAGGAGGGAGTTGTCCACTGTGTCAAAGGCAGCAGAGAGGTCCAGGAGTAGGAGTACAGAATAGTGTTCATTGGTTTTAGCCATTAGTAGATCGTTTGTAATTTTAAGGAGAACAGTTTCCATGGAGTGCTGAGAGCGAAATCCAGACTGAAGGGGATCAAGAAGGTTATTCTCAGTGAGGTGGTTGCTCAGCTGGTTGTAGACCAGGCGTTCAAGGAGTTTGGAGGAAAAGGGGCGTAACGAGAGCAGATTCCTTTGCAGTTGGAACAGGCTTGAAATGAGATATTTATTTATTATTTATTTATTTATTTCAGGTACTTGTATAGCACTGTCAATTTACACAGCACTTTACATATATATATATATATTATACATTCACATTAGTCCCTAACCCTCAAGGGGTGTACAATCTAAGGTCCCTAACTTACATTCATACATACACATACAAGGGCCAATTTAGACAGGATCCAATTAACCTACCAGCATGTCTTTGGAGTGTGGGAGGAAACCAGAGGACCTGGAGGAAACCCATGCAGGCACAAGGAGAACATGCAAATTCCAGGCAGGTGGTGCCATGGCTGGGATTTGATCCAACAACCATAGTGTTGCCAGGCAGATGTGCTAACCATTTAGCCACTGTGCTGCCCCAGATATTTATTTATTTATTACAGGTACTTATATAGTTCTGTCAATTTACACGGTGCTTTACATATATATTGTACATTCACTTCAGTCCCTAACCCTCAAGGGGCATATAACCTAACTTGCATTCATATACTAGGATCAGTTTAGACATGGGCCAATTAACCTACCAGCATGTCTTTTGGAGTGTCGGAGGAAACCAAAGTACCCAGAGGAAACCCACGCAGGC